ACGTAGGTCACTTTTCGGAACAACCGGGAAACCGGATAATTTCTCTGGCAACCGGTGAATGGCGATTTCGCCTGGGGCTTCCTCGGGAAAAGTTATCCGGCCCTATGCGCAGCCGCCAGAGAATGGCGATTTCGGTTGGGGCATCTTCGAAACCATGATTGTGGACCCGACGCGTGCGGGCAGAAGTTGACGATTCCACTTGGGAGTTCCTCGCAGCCACGCGTGTCGCCCAATCTGGTGCCGCCAGAAAATTTAGATGCCGCGCTGGACCTCCGCATTCTGTTCGCGCGCGCACCGGCGCGCCGACGCTGCGTCTATCAGTCTGCGCGCGAGCGTGCGCGGATATGCGTGAGTCTGATCGTGCCGCTTGATGATGGGCGGATCTGCGCGTGCGAGGGTCAGTGGGTGCGTCGGAGTCCTCTCTATTGGGGTCTGCACTCTTTATCCAGCAAGTGGTAGTCAGCTGCAACCTTCCTCACCCTGGGCCACTGGATCTCCTCCTTCGGAATCGACGGCAGCACGCGCATGCGCGGCGCCTCGGGAACCTGAGCAATCATTGCCGCCGTCTTCGTGTCATCGCTCATTCTCTCGCTGGTCAGCTTCTCGCACTCATGAATCAGGTTCCCGAACTTCGCCATTCAAAAGAAGAGCTCAACCTCGCAGCCGAAGTCGAACTCCAACACTTCCATCCATCGGGACGAGGTGCTGCCCATGTTCCGCGCATCGCACTGGAAGCTCAGGCGGCGGAAGGCCTCGGGCCCGTCCTGGTTACTCATCAGTCTGATGATGCCGAGCGTCGTCCCTTGTGCGTACATCGTCAGCTGGTAGAAGAGTGACTGGGCCATATGCTTCCACTCGTCATCGTCGTTCACATAGTTCAGCACCAGTTGGCCGCACTCTACCTGGGTCATGCCCTCCAAGTATTTGCGGCTCTGGCTGCCTCTGAAAGCGTTGAACTTGAAGTTCCAGTCATGGGAGTCTGGCCCCTTCACACTATCGAGCATCGGTGGCTTTCCCTTGTCGCTAATGATCGCGCTGGCGAGCACCTTCGTCTGCTCGTCAGCGACCGCCTCGGGTTGCTCCGTCTGGAGCCCGGCTATCGTCAGGTTATGCTGGTCTATCGTCTCCATGAGGCGGCCTAGCTCTCTGCGCGTCTCCTGTGGCTCCGCCGCGAACGCTTCCAAACTCATCGCAGCTGCGCCGCGGCGGCCTCAAAGGCGCGCCGCCGAGGTCCGGGGACCTTGCGGGTCGGTCGTGTCAACCGCGCCCCGCTGCCATCTTGACAGGCAGTTCAACAATGAATCGCTTCGGTCATGCAACAACGGCTACAATACGGTATACAAATACTTTTAAAAACGTGCTTATGATACAGCGGGGTGCTCAGGGAGTTATCTAACTCTCGGCAGTTGCTGAAATCTCACGAATAAGAAACAATTGTTGTTTGTCCCCCTCCCCGGTAACCATTTGATGTTTCGAGTAACGTGCTTTTCCCAGGCCTCGCACCCCGTTTTTGCACAAGGGAAAACGAAGTGTCACCAAACTGTGTTGGCCCCTGGATTACAGCAGCAACAACGGCTGCCGCCTGAGACTTCCTCACGCTGTATTCCCAAATCGTGCTCTCGCGCGGGACGTCCTTACAGTTCTGCAGCAATCGCGCTCTCGCGTGGGACATCATCGCAATTGATTCAGACGCCGCGGCTTCGACACTCAGGAGTCCAGCTCTCGCTGTGGACTTCGTAAAGATTTATTGGGAATCGCGCTGTCGCTAAAAACGTCCTCGCGATTCATGCAGGACGCACGCTTCAGCAACCCGGCTGCTCGACCTGGCCGCCTGGGCCCGCCTTTCCGACCCGCCTGCTAGGATCAACCCGCCCGAATTGACCGTTTGGTTGCGACACGTGCTTTCTTCTCCGAACCCCCATCCTGATACTGTCTGTCGTGCTCTATTGTCCCTTCCTTCAATCCGTCCTCTCTTCCCCTGCCTTAGGGTCCTCTTTTCTCCTGCCTTAGGGGTTTCAGGAAAGAAAGATATACCCCCAAAGGGGTTACGATCGAAGACGAAGAGGGCGGGTACCGAGGGTTCGGATTACACGTGTTGAATGGAACACGAGCAGTTCAGAGGGAACCGTGTTAAACTGATTGTTTTTGTTGTTGTCGCTGTTGGTCTCGTCGTTCGGGGGCCAGCAACCAAAGGAATCGACTCCCTTGTGAACAGAGGTGCGCGCCCCAGAAGCGCACGACATGTGCACCAGAGAGAGGGCCAACACTTATTACTTATGAGGAATTCGAGTTCAACAGTAACCACACCGAGAACAACATTCACAGCAACAGCACATACAACAATAAAGCACATATTATCGACAACGACACCAACACCACCACCAGCAACAACAACGACAACACCAACGACAACAACAATCATGCTAATAATATAAAACACCATAAGTAACGCTCATCATCTTAAGACTGTTAGCTCTTACCCGCTCGCGTGCCATTCAACACGTGTATCCCAAACCTTCGGTACCCGCCTTGTTCGTCTTCGATCGTGCCCCACCTTGTGGGTATATCTCCTCTACCTGCCGCGTGTAGCTGGCGCAGCCCATTAAACATGGGAGGGAGGGGAGGAGTGAAGAGACACGGGGGAAGGAGAAGGATGGAACACGATAGAAATTTGCAGGAGGATGATTCGGAGCAGGAACACAAGTGGCAGAACCAGCCTGGCGTGTCGGGCAGACGGACCCTAACGGGCAGGTCGGGCGGGCCGGGACGGTCAGGTCGAGCGGGCGGGTCGCTAAAGCGCCACCCCATCATGAAGGAAGATTTGAGCGATAGCGCGATAATAGTGGGGACGTCCAAAGCGAGAGCGTGATTCCGGAGTCTAGGGGGCACGGCAACGCAATACACTGAAAGGGAATACCACGCAGTCCCGCGCGAGAGCGCAAACTTGGAATAAAGTGTGAGGGAACATCAGGCTGGAGCCGTTTTTTTTTGTTGTTATTTGTTTTTGTTGTTTTCTTTCGTAAATTGGGGGGCAGCCAGGGGCGCAGCTTGGTGGCCACAAAACTTTCCCTGATAGAGAAAAGGGTGCCAGCCCCAGGAGGAGCACTTTCATAGAACAAATAGAACGGTCATCGGGGGGGTCAACGATAATTTCTCTTTAGACATGAAGCCCAGCAGCAACACAACAACAACACTTACCGCAACAACAACAACAACGACGCAACAACAACACCAACAACTACAACAACATCAACATCAGCAACATAAACAGCAGCTACAACAACAATCAATTGAATACTGTTCGCTCTTATTTGATCGCGTGCCACTCAACACACATATATCCCAGACCCTCGATACCCGCCTTTTCGTCTTCGACCGTAACCCCCTCGGGGGTATATCTTCTTTACCTGCCACGCAGATTTATCGCAACTCCCAAAAAGGGAAGGAGAGGACGGATGGGGGAGGGAGACGGATGGAGCACGAGAGAGGGCCTCTCGGAGTAAATCGTCAGGGAATATCGAGCGGGAGCCCTTGTCTTCGTGGCTGCGCCTCTGCGGGCTGGGGCCTCAGTAGGCTGTGTCGGGGGGCCTCTGTGGGCAGCGCGCCGGGGCCTCTGTGAGCGCGCTTGGAGCCTCTGTGGGCTGGGGCCTCTGCGGGCGAGCTTGGGGCATCTGTGGTCTGTGTTGGGGGGCCTCAGTGGGCAGCGCGCCGGGGCCTCCACGGGCGCGCTTGGCGCCTCTGTGGGCTGGGACCTCTGTGGGCGCGCTTGGGGCCTCTGCGGACTGTGTCGGGGGGCCTCGGTGAGCAGCGCGCTTGAGCCTCTGTGGGCGCGCTTGGGGCCTCTCGGGGGCCTCAGTGGGCAGCGCGCTGGGGCCTCTGTGGGCGCGATTGGGGTCTCTGTGGGCAGCGTGCTGGGGCCTCTGTGGGCGCGCTTGGGTCCTCTGCGTGTCCAAGGGCCTCGATGGGCAGCGTGCTGGAACCTCTGTGGGCGCGTAGGGGCCTCTGCTGGCAGTGTCCGAAAGCCTCAGTGGGCAGCGTGCTGGGGCCCCAGTGGGCGCGCCTGGAGCTTCTGTGGGCTGTGTCCGAAGGCCTAAGTGAACAGCGCGCTGGGGCCTCTGCGGTTCGGGGGCCTCTCTGGCCAGGGCGTCTGGGCCCGTCTGGGAGTACGTTGCGAGGGCGCGTCGAGCGGGAGTCCCTGTCGTCGCAGGTGGGCCTCGGGCGCTGCTGCTGAAATTCAGTCTCTGACCACGGGGTCTCGAAGTACAGTTTGAGGAACTATCGGACGGGGGCCCTGGTCGTCGCGGCGGGGCCTCCAGCGACTTGGCTGAATGACGAGGGCGGCTCGAGCGAGCGCCCAGTTCTTGAGTTCGGGGGCGTCTCTGGCAAAGGCCTCTGCGGAAACATCTGGAGGAAGTATCAAATGGGAGCCCTTGTCGTCGTAGTTGGGTCTCCACCGATTTGGCTAAATCGCGCGAAAGCCTCGAGCGAGGGTGCCGCTCCTGAATTCGGGGGCCTTCCTGGCCAGGGCCTCTCCAAGTAAACCGTGAGGAAGTATCAAGTAGGAGCTCTTGTCGTCGTGGCTGGGCCTCCGCCAACTTGACTGAATTGCGAGGAAGTGTCGAGCGAGAGCGCCGTTCCTGAGTTCGGGGGCCTCTCTGGCCAGGGTGTCTCGGGGTCAATTGTGAGGACGTCTCGAGCGGGAGCCGTTGTCGTTGTAGCCAGGCCTCCAAGGGCACACATTCACACTCAAGCCAACGCTCGCGCGGGAACCTCGTTACCAAAGAAAACGGAGCTGGCGTCGAAGCGAGAGCGCGCGGAACTGTTTCCGGAAACCAGCAATAATTATTCTCTAAACAACAACAACGACAATAACAACGCAACAACAATCTTCACCGTGGACCCCCACCCCAACCACGCGCCCAAGGACAATGAATGGCCGCTCGCCCGCCTCACTCTGACAACGTGGCCCAGCCTGGGGGCCGGCGGCATAGGGCGCGGACCTTCAAATACCATTCGACAGTTAAACAATAACATTTATGCGTTATGCCATTTGAGCGTGCTGAGCATTTCCCACGTGGTCTTCTGGTACATGCGCTGGCCAGTAGCACGTTGGTGTTCGTTGACGAAGCCTTCGGTCTCCCCCTCGTATTCAAAGAAATTGGACAGCAATCGGATCTCATCTGCGCCTGCAAAGAAAAAGAGGAACGCTTCTGGAGATAGCGCAGCTTTAGGCTTCTCGATGCGGAAACTGGGGTACCAGCTATCCCACCAATCACCTTTATCCATACGAGATGGCGGCCAGAGGAGAAAACGGTCCTGACCTTCTGCGTCTCTTGTGTCCACAAATTGTACGGGAACTCTCATATGTCCTAGTGCATGACCAAAGCCATAACCAGTTTCACCGCCCCGAGCCCTCAAATAGTCTGTATTGTAAATGGGCTCGCGAAGTCTCAATCCACCTTCCCAATTATCCACCAACTCTTGAGCGGCCCCCCTTGAAAATATGTGCCCCCACGGGCTTGCCATCACTAAATTCGATCCGCCCATTCCCATCCGGTTTCCAAGTACAAGCGATTGAGAGGAGTCGAAACGAGCAAGATAGTTCCGAAGGTTCCTCACATGAAGGGCGAGCATGTCCTTCCCGATCAGAATCCACTGGCAGGTGGGATCGGCCAAAGCTTGGCGCATTGCCCAAATGTGCCCGTCCAAATTCCACAATTCACTCTCCACGATGTCAGCAGGTACGTTAATCTCACTTTCAGCTGTAGAGTATCCGCCACCCTAACGTAGGCGCTGAGTGGAGTGCCCTGTTGTCTCTTCGAACTCGCCTTGTTTGCGGAATTCTTCGGCACTCTTGTGCGCTCCTGGGGACCCCATGCGTGACTTTCTCGGGAGGACACATGGGAAACCACACTTCCCACGTGTCATATCACAGGCCCCGACGGCAGGCCCTGGGGTTCTCTGGGGTGCCTCCTGGCCCGCCCTTGAGGCCCTGGGGGCCAGCCCAAGAAGCCCGGATCACTGAATAACCCTGCCTCGCACGACTGCTGCCCGTTGCCTAAGGCCGCCACACAGCTTGTGAAGCCTTGCAAGACCTGCGCGCGCCATCTCTCTGCCCGCGCCCTCCGCGGCCGCTCTCCTGTGTTTCCCCCGCACCTCTCGTGTCACCTCGCCGCTTCGCGTCCCGCTCAGGTTCCGACCGCGCCGCGCGCTCGCCTGCGCCGCGACCAAGCACGTGGTCGCATGATTTTCGCGATGTTGGCTTTTCGGTCTGGGTCGCGCCCAGTGCGGCCCAGCGTGCCTCCAAGATGGCCTGACATGCGACCCCGAAGCCCCAGAGGCAGGCTGAAGGGGCTTCCACGACAGCCAAAAGAAGGGCACCGAAGGGGGAGTCCGCACTGACAGATTTGTTGTGTTACCCCGATCGCCCCACCCTCCGCGAGGGGAGGTGGCAGTCGGAACCCGTCTGGAAAACACGGTCGTCGGGAATCAGAGGCCTGGCCAACCTCTGCCGACGTCCGACGTCGCCATCCCGCCAGGCAGGCGCCAGAGCAACCCCTCGGCGCGCACATGCGCGCAGCCTGGCCATGGCAGACAAGCTGTGGGTGTCGGGCGAGATGGTCTGAAGACACGTGGACACTAAAGCGAGACAAACGTTCGACGCCCATGAAGGCAAATCGGAAGAGGGGGAAGAGAAGGAACATTGGGTTGGGATGCCCATCCGAGGAGAACTGCTGTTTCCCGTCAGAGGCTGCGATCCACCTCAGGCGGGCGAAGCGAGGAGCAGGAAGAGGAGAAGGAGGAGGAGGGAGAGGAGGAGGAGGAGGAGGAGGAGGAGGAGGAGGAGGAGGAGGAGGAGGAGGAGGAGGAGGAGGAGGAGGAGGAGGAGGAGGAGGAGGAGGAGGAGGAGGAGGAGGAGGTTGAGGAGGAAGATGCCCTGACTGACGTGAAGTTGGAGCCCTCCAGCCCAAGTTAGCAAGCGCGACCTGTAGTAGACCCCAGGAGGCCTCCTGAGTCCCTCAGGAGGCCCCCAAGAGGCACCAAACAGGCATCCAAAACGCCCCAAGGAGGCCTCGCAACAGACCTCCAAGAGGCTTCTATGAGGCCTCCTGCCCACGACCCAGCCAAGGCTCCGGGAAGGGCCGAAGGCCACTCAGCCTTCTCGGACAAGAAGGGGAAGCGCCGATTTGGTCCGTTGGGCTTATAGCCTGGAGAAGAAAAGCAGGACGAGGGCAACGACATGACGGCGTGGATGATGTCCCGAGGGGCCTGTCTGAGGCCTCCTGCCCACGACCCAGCCACGGTTGCGGGATTGGTCGAAGGCCGCTGCATCCGCCCCCCGCTATTGCTTGCAAGAGGGCTTGTCGGCGTTCCAAGATCTACCAGTTCGAGGACCCCAGAACCAGACGAATACTTCGTCGACGGCCTCCAAGACGACCAAGAATGGCCCGAGATGGGCTCCGAAGCCGTCTTACGGGGCCTCAAGATGCCAAAAGCCAGCCGGCATGGCCCCAAGAGGGCTCAATAATTTGTCACCAAGACGGCCCAAGATGATTCCCAGGTTGCCCCCAGATGCCCTGCAGGATGCCCCTAGAAAAGCCCACCGCAGGCCCCGAAGGGGCCCCAGGAAGTCCCCACGAGGCCTCTGAGGTCCCCCGGACGGCTCCACGAGGGCCCCTAGAGGCCTCCTCTTCGCCCTCCTCCTCCTCCTCCTCCTTCAAATCCCTCTCCTCCTCTCTCTACTGGCCATCGCTCGGACGTCCATTCCCTGTGTTTTTTTCGGTTTCGTGCGTGGCTTTTTCGCCAAATGATCAAGGATGCTCCTCGATTGTCCTCGCCGAAGGAAGAATTCACACGTCCGAGCGATGCCAAGTCTTTCTTCCCAAGTTATCCTTCACTGGTTGTCACCACGGCTGGGGCAGCACATAGTTCAATGGCTTGGCCAACAGCGGGCCCAATGTGTGGCAAGATCGGCATTTTCAGAAAGGCAAGGGGGGTGATTCGCCGAAGGCTTCGTCGATAAATCCAACGGGCAGTTCGCCTTCTCTGTGCACCAGTTACGATATTCAGTCTCGAACCGGTCAACGCCAAAATCGAGAAACTTCAAATTCATGTTAGGATCTGTTCCCCACGTCTCCCGCATGGCCTGGACTCGATCAACATGGTCCTGGTAATCGAAGAGAGCGCGCGTCATCAATGCATGGATGCTCCCAGTGGGTGTGCCGGTTGTTTTCCCGTCGCTCTCGAGTTTCAATCCAGACCCAACGCAAGCCGTGCTGCAAATGGTAAGCAGGCCGAGTCGCACCAACATGATCTACAATTCGTGTGCAAAGAAAGGCGTGGTATCAAATTCGAGATGTAAGATTTGAGCCAGAAGGCTGTGACATTAAAGCGTGAACAGATCTCTTTGTAGATTGCCTGCTCCTGGAAATGGATTTTAGCATGTTTGCTGATCAGTCCTGACAGTCCATCAATTCATAATTAGTTTCGCGACTGTGTGACGGTTGATACGTCATTCTGTCGACATTGTGACGGTTATACTCATAAAGCTCCACTCATAAGGAACAACGTCTAGGACTAAATCTGTTGCTCAATGTCTTGACGCCCCCGCTGCTTGACACGCCTCTTCCGTCTTCCCCTCTTCCCGCATCCTTCAAATTTCCTCCCTTCCCGCTCCGCCTCTCTCTCTCTCTCCCCTTCCTCCGCATTCGCTTCTTCTCATCCTCCATCTTGCATCCTTTCTTCCCTTTGGTGTGTATGTGTTGCCTTTCCCCGATCGGCAATTTGGGTTTGTCAACGGCGGTTTGCGAAAAGCTGGCGGAAGGGTCCGAGCCCGTGCAGCTGCATGTAGCGCAGGCATGGCGCTGCCCATACCTCATGTACGGCGCGCCAGGAGGGGTGGGGGCGCAAATCATGGCCGGCAGCACGTGCGCGGCCAAGAGTGGGGGGCCGGGGGCGCATTGAAATAAGAAGAGGCGCCATGAAACCAGGGGAGATCTCATGTCCCCCGCCATGATACCCACCCCCCCCTTAGGAGGCAACTCCTGGGAGGTCTTCGTTAGAACGATGAAGAAGCATCAAGCCCGATTAAGGGGCAACTTCACCTGATTAGGCCTGGTTGAGCCCAAGACTAAGCAAGATAAGCCTGCATTTGAGCAGGATTCAGCGGGATCAAACAGGATCAACCCAGATTGAGCCGGTGATCTACCGCGACAATCCCAGCACCGAAACAGGATTGGACCTCTCAGGAGTGGCGCCCCAACCCCCCGAAGCAACACGCCCCACCGAGCCGCCTCCCCGATGGCAGGGCGCTGCCCCTGCCTCATGTACTGCGCGCAGGGGGCGTCGGGGCAGGGGGGAAGGCTTCCCCCCTCCCCCTACCCTCAAGTCGGGCATGTCCTCATACAGGCGGATGATGGGAGCAAAATGACCAGTCCCCAAACATAGGGCCAAATATGGATAATGGCAATACAACGGATAATGGCAAACTATGCTCAAGGAGAGCCAAACATAACCCCAGGAAGCAATTAAGAACCCCCCCCCCCCCCCCCCCCCCCCCCCCCTCTCTCCGGCGAAAGTATAACGCATCCAGCACCCTGGAGGCGTTATCCTGGCACCTCGCAGTCTTTGAGAAGATCGGAGAGAGGGAGGGAGGGAGGGAAGTGCGGGCCCACATTGCGAGGATGTCTCAAGCGACGCGTGTGCTTCATCGCCGCGGGGGGCCCCCCCCGTAGGACGCCCCCATAGGACTCACTCAGAAGACTCCCCCCCAGGACTCCCCCATAGGACCTCTCCCCTAGGACTTCCCCATAGGCCTTCCCCATCGGACCCCCCCCCCATAGGACTCCCCCGTGGGATTCCCCCATAGGACTCCTCCATAGAACTCCCTCATAGGACCCCCCCATAGAACTCACCCACAAGATTTCCCATAGGATGTGTCAGAGCAGTTCTTGAGGATGTCTCAGGCGAAGCGTTTGTTTCCGAACCACACGGAAGCCAGATTGCGAGAGTGTTTCAGGCGGTTTGCTTGCGTCGGCACGCAGACTCGTCTGCGTTCGTAGCAGACGGATTCTCAGGCTTCTCGCGTCCGCAGCTTTCGAGGTTCCCGAAAGGCAGCAGTGGGGCCCCTGAGCTTCTCGATTCCTTGGGCGGTCGTGTGAGATCAGTTATTGAATTACTCTGTAGATTCGTATTCATATTGACGCGTGTTCAGTCGTACTTCTGTCTTGCCTGTTCCTCCCGCTTGGTTATAATTTGTATATGATTATTCTCCTCCCTAGTACTCTTGCCCTCACTCTTGACAGGGGGTCGGGGGGCGGGGAATTATTTTCCGTGCGTGACCGGTGCTAAGATAACGCCGCGGTGCGGGGTGGCGCGTTATCCTGGGATGGACCACCCCACAGGATGGCCGAAAATAATTAATGTTTCAATACGGATATCAATAAGAATTTGTTAGGAGAGGGACGATGAGGAGAATCAGAAAAAGGAGACTTGTAGTGGACGGTAAGGAGAGCGTGTGAACCTGCAGTCGCTGGGTACGAGCTATCACCATTAATATATCTATTACTATTACTATTACCATTTCTATTACTACTACTATTACTATTACTATTACTATATCTATATATATATTACTATTACTATTACTATTACTAATACTATTACTATTACTATTACCATTCTTACTATTATTACTATTACTATTACTGTTACTATTATTATTACTATTACTATTACTATTACTATTACTGCTACTATAACTATTACTATTACTATTACTATCTCTATTACTATTACTATCACTATTACTATTACTATTACTATTACTATTACTATTTCTATTTCTATTTCTAGTACTATTACTAGTTCTATTACTATTACTATTACTATTACTATTACTATTACTATTACAGTATTACTACTACGTTTACTATTACTATTACTATTACTATTACTATTACTATTACTATTACTATTACTATTACTATTAATTTCTATTACTATTACTACTGCTATTACTATATCCATTACTATTACTATATCTATTACTATTACTATTACTATTACTCTTACAATTACTATTACTAGTACTAGTACTATTACTATTACTATTACTATTACTATTACTATCATTACTATCAGTATTAGTATTGCTATTATATTACTATTACTATTACTAGTACTATTACCAATACTATCACTATTACTATTACTATTACTATTACTATTACTATTACTATTACTATTAGCATTATTACTATTATTATACTATTACTATTACTATTACTATTACTACTACTAGAGCCCAGGGGGGACCAGGACTCCGTGGAAGTGTTTAGCATCAGTGACTCCATGGAATGGCCTTGGGCTCCTCAGCATCTCCTTCAACCTTCTTTCCTTGGCATCCCAGGAAATCCTTGCCCCCCTCCCTGGGCTCCTTCAGAGGTCCCCCCTGGGCTCTTCCAGGATTGTCTGAGAGGGGTGCTGCTGCTTTTCGGTGTACACCGACCTTCCTTAGGAATCCTCAGACCTTCCTTAGGCATCCTTAGGAATCCTTAGGAATCCTTAGGGCCATGGCGCTGGAATTATTTAATTTATTTTTGTTTTGCGCGGTGCTAAAGATAACGCTCGGCTAAAACCACCCCAAATAATTATTTAATTACGGCGCGGTGCTAACGATAACCCCGGGGGGTTCCTTAATTGCTTCCTGCGGTTAGTCGAAACATCGTCCCCTGACTTCTTTTTAAACTATCTTTTAATCTTCCTCCTGTAGAGGGACATGCCCGACTGACGCCTACCACCCCTCTGCGCGTGGATGAGTGGAGACGGGCTGCGTGGACTGCTGCCGCTGGGGCCGCATGCGGTAAGCTCGTGTCTTGCCGACTTCGGCGCTGGCTTCTGGCACCGCGGGGATCGTTCAACCTTGAACGGTCGATCTTGTCCGAAGCGTCAAACCGCTCTCCATCGACCGATTCTGGGTCGCCGGCGGTGTTCAACCTTTTGGACGCCCGAAATGGGTACCGAAAAAATGGGCACAATGCCCAACAGCAAATGTTGTCCCAAACCAACAGCGGCCGCTGTTGGGCAGGCGGCCTCCTGTCTCGAATGGACACAGGCCGCGGCGGCGTGGACAGCGAGCCCTGTTCAAAATGAACAAGATCCGCTGTTGGGCATTGTACCCATTCTTTCAGTACCCATCTCGTGCGTGCAGAAACCTTGTGCGCGAGCGGCGGGGCTGCCGCCGGTCGGCACGGCGCGGACCCACCGTGTGAGAGCTCCACGGCCCGCGTGAGGCGCGTGCAGGGGCCGAGCCCGTGCGAGCTCCATACGGGGGCATCGGTCGTTGGCCCGCGTGCGCACGCGCCCGCTGGGGCCGCAGGTGGAGGTCCCTATGGGAGCAACGTCCGTTTGCGCGCGCGCGTGTGCGCGCGCGTGTGTGCGTGGGTGTGTGTGTGTGTGTGTGTGTGTGTGTGCGTGTGTGTGTGTGGTGTGTGTGCGTGTGTGCGTGTGTGTGTGTGTGTGTGTGTGTGTGTGTGTGTGTGTGTGTGTGTGTGTGTGTGTGTGTGCGTGCGTGCGTGTGTGGGTGTGTGGGTGTGTGTGTGTGTGCGTGTGTGTGTGTGTGTGTGTGTGTCTCAATTTTGTGGGCGCGACGGGGGCGCTCTTCTGAGAAGGCGGGGGGCCACTTGGAAGGACGGGGGTCACTTAGAAGGGCCCCGCGGGATCGAAGAAGGCTTCTTGGCAGCCAGAAGGGCTTCTGAGAAGCCCACTGCCCTCTTAGAAACCCTCCTTCTGAGAAGGCCGCCCCCCTCCCCACTCGCGCCACCACTTTGTGCACCCCGTCGATCATGGGGGGCTCTCTTGAGGGCCTCCCAGTGCTCCCTTGGGCCGTCTTCACGTGCCTAGAGCTGCCGTGGAAACTTGTGGAGGTCTCTGGAACCGTCCCACGGTGGCCCAAGCCCGGGCAGGATCAGTAAGCAACGAATCGGGAAGTCTGATCGGATCATGTGTCAGAAGGAGCCGCATCCGCACGAAACCGAAATCGATTCGGATCGGCTGCACCAGGATGCATAACACGGCCATGCGAAGATCGGGCCGCACTGGGCAATTGGAATATGGACCGGGCCGGTCAGGATCGATACCGAGCCCGATCGATCGGATCGAGATGGACACTTCTTCGTTCACCTGACAACTATGGGAGGAGAAGGAGGAACCCTGATGGGGAGTGACGCGCAAACGAACCTCTGCGTTGTCGAACGCAAAACCCAGCAATGTCCCCAGAGTCGGGGCCCTATTTTGCGTCGCAGCGCGGCAAAGGCAATCCGCACGTGCGTCCAGGCAACCCGGGCTACGGTATTGCGACTGGTCCCGCATGCAGGAGGGG